CACAACGGCCTTTTCTTTAAGGACTTTGGTCTTGTCTTTGGACAAACGAGCAAACTCAACCGAATTTTCAGAAATAAGATTTTTGTTAGTTTCGGGTTCGCTTTTGATATTCTGAACAATCAACCACATCATCCACAGAAATGACACTCATATCATCATCCTCATCGAATTCTAAAGTATTTTCTACATCAATTTTATTTTCTGAACTCAACTTAGCATTCAACAAGTCAAATTTCTGTACGGTTTCGGTTTGGATTTTCAATTTGTTATTTTCATCCAACAAATTTTTGAGTATGTCCTTATGGTCTTTGGACTTTATGAAGGACTCTATTTTGTCAAGACAAATTCTGTAAGCAGGAGAAATATCCTCAGAAGAAACAACGTTTTCGCAGTTGTATGCATCAGCATCGATTTCATCCTCCTTTAACTCAAGGAAGGGTAAAATCATGCGATGTATCTTCTTCCCTATTTCACAATCAAGATGCAATTGAGTAATATTGGTATATAACCGCTTAGCAATTAAACAAAAAACATTTCGTTGTTTTAAAAGCTTCAAATTATCTCTTTGCAAATAAATTGTTTCATCCCTAGACCTAATCAACTCCTTCTCCTTCTGCTCAATCCACATTCGCCTCTCCTCACTCTTCGATGTCACCCTGCTGATTTGATCAGTTAGGTTAGAGTTTGTGACGCGAGTTTGAGTTAAACTTCCACTTAAACTAGAAAATTTAGATTTTAATCCATTGAGTTCCTTTTCATAGTTAGTGATTGGAATTTTCAGAGAGATAAGAATAGATTGTACCTTCTGGATCAACTCGTCGCATTCATTGATCTGCTGACTGACAGGCTTCACTGCAAAACAACGGTCTTCTCTCTCCTTATCTCCATCATGTCCCCCGTCAGTGGTATAGCCTCGCATGTGTGACACTGCAGAGGTCACCATCAGACACCTTCCTGCAGTATCCTCTTCCCTTACCAACAAAGCCCTGCCATGAGTCGGCTTCCTCACTTCTTCGTCCTCTGAATCAGTCGACCAAACTTTAACACCTCCAAATTCATCATCAGCAACATTTCCCTGCACAATGAGAGCATTCATAGTGTTGTTCGATCCTGCTTTCTTCTTCCTGATTTCCTCCAAATGCCTTGTGAGGTTCGTTTCCTCGTCTTCATCTTCGTTCTTCTCATACATCTTTCTCAGCATGCAGTCTTTGGCGAAATGATTTTTACCTCCACATTAGTGACAGGTAAAGCCCGAGTCACCTCCAAGTTTCGGTTCCTTCTTTGGTTCTTCCGTCTGAGAAACACTTTTCGGTTCCTCCTTTGCTTTCTCGGCGCTGTAACTGCCTTGCCCGGTTCTTGTTTGTTGGGAATCTTCTCTTGATGAACTTCTTGGGATTTGATACCATCAGAGCATAATCTTCGCTTGTTAGATCATATTCAGAGAGATCTAAGTCTTCTTCTTCCTCAGCAGTATTCTTACCTTTGGAGATTAGAGCCAAGGATCCCATGCCAGAAACCACATTCGTTTCTTTAGTCAAGGCACTCTCATGCGACTTTAGTATCCCCACCAATTTTGCAAGAGAATAACTTTTGAACTGTTCATGTGCCTTCACTGTTGACACCACAGCCATCCATTCCGATCTAAGGCGATTCATGAATGTTACCTTCTGTTCAATGACCTTCCTTTCGATCCCATGCTTAATCATCTTGCGTAAGAGATGATTGAAGCAATCGAAGGATTGAACAAGCTTCTCTTCAGGCTTCTGCTTGAAATCACCAAATTCTGAGAGCAATAATGTTTGGATTGAGTGCTCAAGATCTTCATCTGTAGAGTACAATTCCTTCAACCTGACCCATATTTCCTTTGCTGTCGTGCATGAGCTTACCAGCCGAAACGTGTCTGACTGTAACGCAAACCTAATCATCCTTAAAGCTTTGATGTTGCACTGAAACTTTTCCTTCTCATCTTGAGGTATATCTTTCACGTCACCGATGAGTTGATTATATTCCTTTTGAGTTTTAACCACTCTTGAGGTACTTGCATGAGCGAACGGACCAACAGTGATCGCCTCCCAGATTAAGTATCCATTATCTTCTGAGCCAATCACGTAGTCTTCAAAGTGATTCGCCCAGACCTCATAATCTTGAGTGTATAAAATAGGAATCCTTGTCGTCGAACCTATGCTGTTTGAGATGTTGATTGGGTTTGACTGAGAATCATCCATGGATGTGTCGATGTTTGTTCAAAACCTGCTTAAGATCAGACTTGTAAATAACGTTAGGGTACGATCGAATATTCAAAGAACCACGTCAATAGCAGATGACGGCTCTAGTAATATCAATCTAAGCGGAAAAACCCTAAGATCTTCTTCAACAGAAGAGATGTGTATGAATTACATAGTCTCCTGCTCTGATACCAATTGTTGAGTTGAAAAACTCTTAGATCGATTAGATCTTCAACAGGTTGAACAATAAAATCAAATAAACACAATAAACACAATATAGAATCAAATGATGCTTAATGATTCAAATGTAGTCACGCCTCAGCAGAGCTCGACAAAGAACTTCCACTGTAGAGGCGAGCTAGGGTTTGTAGTACAATCAATTAATAATTATCAAAGCGCACTTCATAAAGGCTGCATGCATGCACCTTAAATACTAAACCCTAAACAAAACAATCACGGTTGGACAGGCCCAAACCGGATAGCAAACCTGGGCTAAGGACCGAGCCCATGACGCAACACTATTCAACCCTACATTAAGTTATTACAGTTTGTTTTCAAAATGGTTCAGACACCAGAGTATCCCCAGAATCAATCATGAAAATATGAGGAGGTGCACGATCACGCCTTCGCCTTCCCGCAATCGTCAGAAGTGTCTGAAACAAAATCAACAACTGTAAGCCCGAAGCTTAGTGAGTTTCCCCAAAATACCAACGCCATACAAACATAACCATATCATATAACCAATACAGAACAGCATGCATAATGAGTCATCAGCCTGACTGGACCGCCTTACATGCCTTCAGTCTATCTGGACTGCTCTTCGAGCCTTCGGCACGTCTGGACCGCCACGCAGGGCCTACAGCCTATCCGGACCGCTCGCCAGGTATGTTGGCCTACAGCACAAAGCAGGACCGCCTCAACCCAACCCCCAATCAAACAAACATGTGCACATAAATATCATACGCTAGCTCATTTCATATAACAGTCAAACCGATCTAACAGATCACCAATCATAGCAACATCCAAATAACCGGGATACAGACCTAACCGGTCACTAACATAGCATCATCCTATAACCAGGACAATCATGTGCACATAGACATCATATAACACTAGCATGTATATAAATAACAGTCAAACCGATCTAACAGATCACAAAGCATAGCAACAATCCTATAATCAGGATATCGACCTAACAGGTCACTAACATAGCATCATCCTATATACCAGGATACCGACCCAACCGGGTCACTAAAGCATAGCATATCACCATCCTAACTACCAGGATATAAATCAGTAAGCATAACATGCAATAATCCGAATACAATCCATAAAGGGCCGGCCTTGGTGCCTTAGACCCTGTTGATAAAGTGAGGAGAACTCACCTGGCACTGCTGAAGTCCCGTAGACAAAATCCTACACTGCTGAAGTTCCGCAGACTCAACCCCAGCTGCTGGATGACAGATTCCCGAACTGTCAACATCAAAATAACACCCAATTAATAATTGGGTCCCAACACGTAACCACAAATGCATCCTTGGATAATTACTACATTACCCCAAGGTTAGCTTTATTCAAGTCCAATGCCCAAAGTCAATTGGGAATCAAAGCCCAACATATGGCCCAATTTTCCAAATTGGGCCCAAGCCTATGCATGGTCTTATTCTAAGGCCCAACCTCATATAATCATTAAGGCCCAGACTATGGCCCTTCTATGGCCCAATTTTCCAAATTAGGCCCAAACCCCTTACATGGGTCTTACCCTAGGCCCATTAAATTATTCTAGTCCAATTGCTTGACTTTGGATGGCCCATTAATAACCCAATCATCAAGGCCCAATAGAGAGGCCCAACAATAAACCCAAGTGAAATTAGGGTTTCACATAGAATGATGATTAGGGTTAAGTTTCCTACTTAACCCATTAAGGACTTAATCCTCTAAGGACTTAATCCATTAAGTCCAATATCGCTTAGATTAATCTTTGCCAATGATTATTATTTAATATCTCAAGTTATTAAATAATTCTCGCGTGTCCCGGTTACTTCCCCAAATTAAGGTTTTATTGGCATTAGGGTTTTCCCAACCCAAATACTAGCCCATTTATCAATTTGTTGGGCTTTTAGGTCAATTAGGGCTTTATTGGGCATCTTAGGCCCACTAGAATATCATTAAGCCCATTAGGGTTTTATTCGAGTCCATTAGAGTCCATTAGGGTTTCAAGCACCCTAAACGTATCAAACTTTAACGAGGCAAGCACACCGCCACTCGGCACGACGGCCGGTGGCGGCAGGAGGCGGCAACCACCACCATATGGTGGTGGTGGTTAGGGTTTCTTTTATTATTTTTGGCACCATTACAATGTACAACTCGATAATGCACACACACACACTAATAATAACACACACGCACACGCACAACCACCTTGTGGTGGCCGGCGGTGGCAGATGGTGGCAGCCACCACCTCATGGTGGTGGTAGTGATCTCTTTCCAGATTCCGGCCAAGGTTTTTCCCACTCACACAATACAACACACACAATAAACCCACCTAAGCATACAGAAGTCACACACACACACAGCCACCATCCATGGTGGCTGGTGGCGACGGAAACAAGGAAGCAAGTGGCGGCAACCCACACCCGACTTGCTAGATGCGAACACAGCCACCCAAAACTGGTGGCATCCGGCGGATGGGTTTCGGTGGTCACAGCAGTGATTGAATCGGAGAGGGAAGAACGTCATTCACGGCGAGGGGGGGTTGTCGTGTCCGTCACTGCAATGACCACGATGGGTCACAATACCGAATCTCAAAATTATCTGCAGCCCTCGTCTTCGAGGTCAGCAGCATCGGCGACGTCTCGGAGTGCTGTTAACTTCTTAACAGATGGCGATGGCGGTGGTGGAATGGTTGGCGGAACCGCAGCAATGGCGGTGCACCATAACCGCTCTTCTTCAACCACGAAAGGCAACAGTGACGGCCATAGCCTGTCGTCATTGGCAATGGAACAGCACCCCCTGAATGTCTTGCTGGTAGCAGCGGTTCACGGTGGACTTTGGTGGTCGATAGCGGCGGCTGAAAGAGACGGAAGCATAAGGTGGCGGCTGGGAGGAATATTAGGGTTAGGGTTACATGGGGTGTTGTGGCTATGATGTTTATATATGGAGGCTAACAAGGTGACGGGTTCCACCCGTATCCATCCTCAACCATTTGTGTATTTTACACGTTTAGTCCCTATCCATAAGAAATCTTTTCAACTTAAATCCGTCATTTACTCCTTCAGTCCCTGTCTCTTAAAATCCTTATAAAGTGAGTCCGAAATATTTACCAAGCAGCCCCTGCTTCCATAATTCCTTACATTTTAAGTCCAAATAATACCAAATACCCCCCCTGACTTCTAAAATCCTTTGCAAATTAAATCCTGAAATTATACTTTAGCCCCTGGAAATCAAAATTATATCATTTGGCCTTCCGAAACAAACACCCCACTAATTATTTATTAATTTTTGAGCATTAAATAATATAAAATAACAATAAAATTACTACTCAGGTTTCGGGTTTGTTATTTAATTATCTTATTTTAAAGGGATGTTACAAGATGGAGTTGGCCCTCTTTGGGTGAGGGTGTTAAAGTCTAAGTGATCCAAGTATTCGATGGTGTTTCGGAGCCCAAGGGCATAATCATAAATTGTTATCTCGGTCCTTTACAAATTTTGGGTTTGGTTCGGGGAGTTTTGAGGCTATGATGGGTTGCTAGAAATGTAGGTGTTTGCGTCGCCTTTCCATGGGTATAAAGTTCGTCGGAAACAGAATTAGAATGAAGAACTTATGGCTTTCGGAAGAATTTAGGGTTTTTGGGAAAACCCCTAGTATGTGGGGCGTACATGGGGAGTACGCTGGGTGTACTCGTGCGAGGGCACTTACACGGGGGTACCTTAGCGTACGTTAATCGTAGTCAGAAGACCTAATCGTGAAGCTTCGATCTCGTACGCTGGGCGTACGAGGAGTGTCTAATCCCTAAATTTTGATCATTTGTACCCTATTTAAGCATCCTTATTCCTTAGGGTTTGCCTCCTTTTCAACCTCTAAAGCTCCAGAACCCTAAAGTCGAGTCTTATCCTCCATCGTTGAGTGTTTGAGCCTTTGGTGATGATTTGGTGTTCATTTTGTGGATCTAGAAGAAGGAGGAACTTAAAGACTTATTGTTTGAAGGAAAACTTTAAGATCCAACATTTGTATCTCCTTTTGGTAGCTTGGGAGGTATAAAGTCCCAACCTTGCCTTTTCATTGCATAGATCTTATTCTTGGTTCATTTTTGGTCTTTGTGACCCTTTGGTTGATGATTGGGAGTTTAAGTCGTTTGTTGTAACGCCTGCAGATTCGGGCTAGTCAATTTAGAGACAATAAGCATCAAAAATGAGTTATTGATGGAATATTATTTATAAGGAGTAATCTTAACCAAGTGGTAGTATATTTTACAAGGGTTTCGTACATATAAAGAACGCAGAAATCCGAGTTATAACGAAGATGTTATGGTCCGTCGAAGTTTTACGGCAAAACCGGCACGACACCGGCAGACGTAAATAGGGAATTTACGATAGAGGACTTTTTGGACATAGTTATCTAAACAAAAGTTTTAGTATACGTTAAACCGAGAGCGTTCATAAAAAGAACGCCCAAATATGACTTCGTATGAGGAAGTTATGAATTTTCTAAGATTTGGCATAGCAGTGCACGGCCCGAAACTCGAATTTTAGATCAAGCGGTTTTTGGCGTACGCGACCTAAATGAGAGTTGAAGATCTCATTAATAGGAAGTCAACGATAAAAAGACAGATGAAAACAGAGTCTGTATGAAAGAGTTACGAATTTTTCACGGTCATTTAACAGTATAATCTCCTCCTACCGTTAAATTTAAGATCGGTCGAGAATTAGCCGACAGAGTCAAAATGAAAGTTGTAGACCTTATTTTTACCTACGCGTGGATATAAAGAACGTCAAAAACGGAGCTCGTATGCGAAAGTTACGGATTTTAAAAGTCGGAAGTGTGCTGTGCGAAAATGGGTGATGTGGCACAATCTTGGCCATTGCTTTCTCCCCAAGTCTTGCCACCAGATGGTGACATGTGGCACCAAGTTCAGCCACATTTCACCCTATAAATAGAACCTCTTCCACCCTCATTTTCTTCACACCTTTCCCATTCTTTCTTCTCTCTACACCCTCTCTAAACCTCCCAAAAACTCCCCTAGCGCTAGAAGAAAGCCCCGAAGCGCTCGACGGCTCCGAGAAGAAGAGATTTCGGCTCGGAAGTCCTGCCCCTGCAGAGCCCGGCTTGTAGCCTAACCCCCTCGTAGGTAAGATACGCCTACCTAATTTTTAATATATCTTTTATTTATATATAGTAATGTTATTAGGACCTTATAATAAGTATTTGAGTAATTATTATGGGTTATATAAGTGTCATTCTAATATCTTTTTAACCACTCGCGGTACGGGGAATCCAGTTTGAAGGGCCGCTTGGGTTGTTGGATTTTAGAAGTGCTATATGCCAAAATGATCATGCCATGCGGTGTTTCATGTCTGGCCCCTGTCTGTACATAGTGGGTGAAGAGTATTGTTTTAACGCTTATATAATAGTAATAATAGCAAGACTATTAATTAGTCACGTTGAACGTTAGACTAAACTCTAGTGGTAATGATACTAGGTTTTGTCAAAGGAAAATTCTTTTAAGAGTAACGAAGTGCTGTCCGAGTGCCGAGTCACCACCTTTACAGGTGAGTGCATAGTTACTTTCATCTTACACATAGATATGAAGTATTTTATATAAATTACGTGCTATGTGTGTATACTGTCTGAATACTTGTTGTCTATGCTGGATGAAACGTTTTATACATGTTTTAAATGATCTAAACTGTATATGTATTTTATATCTACAAAATGGGTTGGGTAAAACATGGGTAGATTAGAGGTGAGATAAATGATGAGCGATAAAAGATGAGATAAATGATGAGCGATGAAAGATAAGATGAATGATGAGCGATGATATATGAGTGATAAAATATGGTGCGAAGCGATGACCTAAGTGACGACCTAAGCGATGAGCCAAAACGATAAGCCAAAGCGATGATCCAAAACGATGAGCCAAAACGATGAGCCAAACGATGACCCAAGCGATGGACCCGTCATCTAGCAGAGTATGGATGACAACCACGGACTATTCTAGACAGTCTAGTGGAACACTAGCATGCTCGCAACCTGTAGGTGTTGTGAACGATGTGTTCACCCGGTGTACTAAAAAAACCCCATTGACATGTATTGCGAGTGGACTCTCGAAAACGATATTGTCAATAAACGAGATAAACCCTGGCGACTATGCAGACTTAGTGTCGATTCCTTAGGATACTCCTTAGGAATGAATGAACGAGGAATAGCGGAATCTTAGGGAAGATCCTTAAGAGTAATGAAGATAATGGGGATGGGTAATTGGGTTGATTGTTTGATGTCGAACATAATAATTATATTATTGTGGGTTGAAAACCCTATGTACTCACCAGGTTTCCCAACCTGACCCACTCAAGCTTATTTGTATCACATGTGTCGATATGAAGCTACTTTACACTGAGAGATTTAAAAGAGATGTAGATCACTAGTGTAAATGAATGTAAGTTCTGTTTATGCTTATGTTTCTGTATTGACGATGACACCCCAAATGTTTTAAAATGGATAAAAACACATTTCTTCAGAAATGCTTTGATAACGTATTTATCATGTTTTTTTCTGGGAACAAATTCTGCAACATTTTTATTAAAAGAGGTACTCTGATTTTTATAAAGCATAAACAAAATCGGTCTTTTCTGACCGAGAAAATGGGGATGTCACATTTTTGAAGCTTGTAATTGTAGATCTGGTTATATCATGGGTTCCTTGGGCATAAAGGTGCAAACTTTATGGTGGTTTTGGTTCCATGCATGTATTAAGTCAAGTATTAAGCTCTTTTGATATCTAGAGTCCCATTTAGCCATGCATGCACATAAAGTTGGCAACTTTATGTGATAAACCACATTGGGAAAGTCAGATCTGAGTTTGGATCCAAGTTTTAATGGATTAAGTGCTTTATTGGAAAGTTGGCTTTGGGTTGGTGAGTATACTGGGCGCACAAGTATGTACGATGTGTACAAGCTTCCCATGATGTACGCTGAGCGTACAGGCTGAGTACGCCCCGCGTACTCAGCATACTTGGGCCTTTTTGCGTTTTGGGCTTCGGTTTAGGCTTGGCTGTGTTGGCCCTTGTTGGGCCATCTGGATTTTTATTGTTGGGCCTTCTTTGGAAAAGGCCCATGAAAGGAATTAGGCCTAATTTGGAAAATTGGGTCATATTTGGGCCTTAGATGTTTATTGTTGGTTTTTGGGCCATTGGTCATCTAGTTTCGGCCTTGGCTTTGGGCTATGCTTGAGGAAGGGTAAAAAGGTCTTCTACCCTAAACTGTGACTCCCCTGACTCCCATCAGCGTGTTAACACCGAAAGCACTACAAGCAGAAGAAATGAACCACCATGATCACTAGGCCCAAAGCCTATGACTGGAATACCCCTACAAGGTCCTCAACATAGGTCTCGATTACCTCTGAGCCCACATCATGAGTTTGGAATGCCCTCCCTGGCCCTCAGCCCATGTCTGGAATGCTCCCGATAACACACCGACCTTGTCGTCATCGCATCATTCGCCCAACACTTTGGGCCTGAAGATACCCACCCCATTCCATTGCCTTGAAGGGACCTAATCGACTCCCTCACAATGCCAACTGGGCACCAAAAAGCTGCTACCAAAGCAAAACCTTACAAAAACATGGTCGCAATTTGACCCACGAATAGGATAACGGTTGCACTCTTGGTCCAATTCGAAGGCTATAACCTAAAAGAACCATACACATAATTCAAACCAAGGCTCCAATGCTATCTTGCCCAGCTCACATGAAATACGACCATGCACATCCTTAGGGATCCCATATTCTCATCCAAAGAGAAGAAAAACCGGAGATAATCGAAATAACACCTCAATCAATAACAGAAAACACCCTCACGATCAGCCAAAACAAGTTCCAATACTTGATTGAGACTGAACGGATTCCATCACTACACAACTAGCTCGAGAAG